CTATATTCAGGTCAGAAATATATGTCTTGCAGACGGCACCCCAGGCTGTGATGCCGTATATTATATGGGTTTCAACTAAGGCATGGTATAGGATTCGCAGATAACTTTCTGTAAGAATGTTAGCAAGCATTTTGAGTTTATAGGCAACATATCTAATTTTTTTGATAACATATTTAATATGGTTATCCCACCTTAGATGTGAGTCTATAAATATTCCAAGATATTTCAAAGTGTTAACTCTATCGATTTTGGTCTTTTGGCCATGATAATTAACGGAAATTTGTTCGAAGGTAGGTAAAAATTTTGAATAGGATGTAAATGCAATAAATTTTGTTTTTTGAAGTTAACTGTTAAAATTTTAGTATCAAACCAGTCAATGATCCTTATAAAATCCTTTTCAGCTATTTGCTTCAGTGTGCTCCAGTCATCAGCTTTATATAATACGAGGGTGTCATCTGCAAAACATATAATCTTTCCAGAACTGTTAATTTTGAATAAGTCATTTAAGTAGAGACTAAATAATAGTGGGCCTAGTACTGTTCCTTGAGGCACACCACACTTGATGTACATTTTTTTACTGTAAGTGTTAGTGATTTTGACAGTCTGTGCCCGACTTGAAAGGTAATTTTTTAAAAGGATTTGTGACGCTCCCCTAAATCCCAATCTTTCCATAACTTTCAGAAGCTCGACATGGTTAACCGTATCAAAGGCATTTTTTAGATCAACAAAGATACCAATAGTAGGTATCTTTTTGTTGACATTAGAGTTAATTTCATCCATTGCAGCCAAAATTGCATCTGTAGTAGATTTTCCTTTTCTAAATCCATATTGGTCAGAACATATAATTTTGTTTTTGTCCAAAAATTGCAATATCCTTTTTTGTAGTAATTTTTCGAAAATTTTGGCCATATTCGATAGTACTGATATGGGTCTATAATTTGATGTTTCCATTCTGTCACCGCTTTTATAAACAGGAGTAATAACAGTTGTTTTAAATGCGTCAGGACAAATTCCAGATTGGAAACACCAATTAATGACGTAAGAAAGTGGTTCGGCTAAGTCGTAGGCTATTATTTTCAAATGCTCAGCTTTGATACCATCTACACCAGGACTTTTTTTGGTTTTAAGTGATAGGACAGCTTCTTGTACTTCAATCGGACTAACGCTTTCTAAAAAGAATGAATTGGGAAGTTGGGTTTTTGTGAACTTTTCGTTCGAAACCATTTTTTTAATACTGGATGCTAAATGTTCTCCAACATTAGTGAAAAAATTTAAGAATGCATCGGATATTTGTCGTTTATCTGTTAATATTGTTCCATCACGATTCTTAATTTCATCAATATTTGGCTTTTCTTGAACGTCTTTGTTAGTTAAGTGATCGACAACTGACCACAGTTTTCTTGGATCAGATTTGGCATCTTGTAATTTTTTTAGATAGAATTGGCGTTTTGCTTCTCTAACTAGATTGATAAAAATATTTTTATATTCTTTATATTTATGGGAGGTATCTGCACATGGCGATGCTTTCATTATTTTGTATAGTTCCTCTTTTTTGTTGGCAGACTTTATCAAACCTTTAGTTATCCAGGGATTCCTGCTTCTGTCAAAATGTTTAATTTTAACTCTGTTTGTACTACATTCAATTAAATACTTTATGCGTTCAATGAGTGTGTTTGCAGCATCATTAACATTCGTTGCACAGTACACTGCTGTCCACGATTCTAATTTGATATTTGCAAGTAATTTTTTATTATCGACAAAACACCTAAATTTCACTGTTTCATTACTGGAGATGGATCTACTTTTATTTTTTTCTGGAGATGATATAAGTATTACAGTGGGTAAATGATCGGTAATATGGTTTTCAACAATTAACGGTATGTACCGAAAGAAATTTGAAAATTTTTGATGAAACAATGATCAATGCAAGAACTGGAACTATTATTGACTACTCTTGTTGGTAAATTTATATTTGATATGAATCCATTGCTCTGCATTACAGTGAGGTATTTGTTTACTAATTTGGTATGTTGGAGTATATTAATATTCATATCTCCTATTATGATGTGGTGTGACTGTATGGTATTTTTGTTATCTAACAAAAATTTTTCAAGATGTTCTACAAATGTATAAGGGTTTGATGATGGTGGTCGATAGGCAGATGTGACTTTTACACTTTTGCTATTAATTCTCAATATCAAATCCAACACTGTGATACCGTCATCAAATTTAACAAAATCACATCTGTAGTTGATATCATTTCTTACATATACTACCACCCCATCATTCTGGTTGTACGTACCATTATTGTAAAGCGTATCATAACCTTCCAAACAGAACAAAGATACATCATTAATTTTCCAAGTTTCTGTTAATATTATTATATCAAATTTGTGTTTAATTGAAGATATTAAAACAGTCAAAATTTTGGTTTAGGCTTCGTATATTCATGTGATATAAGCTAACATTGAAATTAGAATATTCTAACCATTTATTAACAGCATTTGCGTCTTGAGCAACATTTGTATTGATATCATTAACCTGAAAATTATTTACGCAACCATCCATGTAAAATTTTGCAAATGATATGTAGCTCGAAAAACGTAAAAAGAACTAAAGGCTCAAAACATTATTCTGGATGAATACTGTTTTTGAAAATATAAATACGACGGGCATTTTTTGTCTGTGGGCGAGTGACCAACATCATTATTCTTATTATGCTTAACGTTATAGTTCATACAGTTAGAACATTTTAAAATGTTTACAGTACAAATTTCACTTCTATGTGCTTGTCCACATTTAATGCACATTTCCGCGCCCCTACATTTTTTGTCTGTGTGACCAAACTTCAAGTATTTTCTACACTGCGATATCTGGTTATTGTCATAGACAAATAAGTTTTGCCAACCTAGTAGTATTCTTGATTTCTTGTTGATAAATATGTCTCTATATAGCTATAATCCGACAAATTCGATAGTGCGACACTGCCCTGCATAATGTTTGTCGGATTACCGGTGGTCCACTGCATTGTTTTTACCCTGTGTTTGGAGAAATCGACAAATTATGTCGAGTGTTAGGTTTCTTGTGAGTGCAGCAATAACGATCCTTCACCGCGACTCTTTGGTCTATTGTGACTTATGTAGAGTGTACTCTTTTAACTTACAACTCGAGCTTTCTACAGCCTTTGCTGTCATCATCAGGTGTGCGCCAGCGATATTGGTGCACTGTATTGTCATTTCCTATGCCTCTCGACGAGGAAGTGTTGTAGTCGCAAAAATTGTAGAAACCTGTTTTTGGATTTTATGTGACATGTACATCACGAAAAGCCATGTCACTTATTCCTTATAAGGATGAAAAAGTTATGTAATTGCTGACCTGCGGCCAGAAAGAAGGCCAAAACAAAAAAATTAAAATCACTCAAACATTCGATACGATTCTAATCATTTATCACCTTTTAATGGTAAAAAAATGAGGATGGGGAAGGGTATATTTCAATTTTTTTACGTTATTTTTATATGCTCCCTACCCCGGTAACTTTAAGTACCTATCAGCCACATTTCATACATCATAGGTTCCGCCGTACATTTGTTTTTATAACAGAATGATAAATGTTTTCTGTACGTGTCTCCTTCTGATATCAGGGCTCAGCGCCCGTAGAAACGATATGCTTGATTGTTCGGCTTGTACTGCCGGTAGGCGCTGTCACGTCTGGCGATACGGGAATGGACAGCGTTGCCAGATGGACAGTTTTTACCGCTAGGGCAGGGAAATAATGACTATCAACGAAGTTTGAACGTTTATGCTCATATCTCCGCTACTACTGAACCGATTTTCAAAAATTTTACAACAATTGCTTGTCATTAACACAGGGTTAAAATTTCATCATAATTCGACCGGTACTTCACAAGTTATAGCAGGGCCAAACATAGACTGACATATTCGATTACGAATTCTAAGAGTGCATTTTTTTATAAAATTCTATCTAGATATCCTAGTCCACTTATACAGGGTGATTCACAAGAAATGAGACACCATACACAGGACCGCATTTTAAGGGGGGGTCTTCATTAAAAAGATACGGGGTGTTGAAGTTTAACAATAAAAAACAATCTTTTTTAATATCTTCAAAACCGCCAACTGGAATCAACTAAATTTGGTATGTGGATTTACCTAAGTATTGTCCACATTCAAGTGTCCTAATTAAAAGCTAACGGGCACCAGTGGCGGAGATATAGTGGATTACAGGCATTATTTTTTCAAATAAATATACTACGACACTGCTTTTTTTGGAAACGCGCAATTTTTCGAATGCATCTTCAATTTGCTACGAATAATTACTCTTGTGTTTTTTCCTAGAGTAGAAACCTTTGGGGTGGGTGGGCGTCTGTTAGGAAATCTACGTTGGTACTCCCGAGAGACCTCTAAAGCATTTCCATTACAAAACCCGTACACAAAAATAATATCGCCGTACTCATATTTGCTATAAGTTCCAGTTCACAACACTCAAAAATGGAAAAAAGAGACTTTTGACAAAAAAAATTCTTGTAGTAACGATAACAATCACATAACACATAACTATCTCCCAAGCAACGTCAAGTTGGTATCAAAGCCTCCTACGAAAACAGGAAAAAACATAACAGTAATTGGTGATTACTTGTAGCAAATTTCAGTTTCAAAAAAACAGAGGCGTACTATTTTAATTTGAAAAATAATGCCACTAATCCCCTGTATCTCCGCCAGTGGTGCTTTTTAATTTTAAGTGAAGACTTACGTAGATGAATCGACATACCAAATTTTAGTTCATCCCAGTTGAGGGTTTTGAAGATATTAAAAAAATGGACCCCCCTTAAAATGCGGTCCTGTGTATGATCTTTCATTTTTGGTCACGACTTGTGAATCACCCCGTATATGTATTATTTTATAGCAAGCCGTCTATCACTACTAAAAATACCGGCACCTGTCGTATTTACGTTTTTTTTATTCTGTCACAGAATGGACATGACTAAACATTTCTTTTGTCCACAGGCATATCATGGTTGTAACTGGTGCTTCCCCACCCCTACCGCCTCTGGCCCTGCCTCGCATCAGCTCCGTCTCAACGCTCCGCAGACAACATAGCGTCCCCCCGGAAACGCATTTCGCCCCCGCGAATCGTCATAGCGTCCTCGCCGGTCACATCGCCAACAACAAGAGGTAACTGGTAAACCATTTGGCTTCCTCTGCAAAAAATTAAAGCCATCCCAACTGACAATTATCACTCCTATTAGAGTTGCAAGAATGATTATACAGTATTCCGTACACAGCATTGTATACTGTAAGAATATTGGCTGAACCCTCTTAGAACAGCTATACAAGCGGAATGGGCACACCGAATAGGACACTTCAGTCATTTAAGAGGTTGTATAAGGGCTGCAGGTAACAACAAAAGTGTAAGCCTCTTGCAGCTGCTATAGGACATTTGCGTCAGTGCAAGATTCAGTTTTTGTCAACTATTCAACTATTCTGTTACGTGATTCTACTTTATTGCAACCAAACTGTTTCTTATGTATTGTACAGACAAAGTGAAGAATATATAACTAACACATTACAGTCATCTTGTTTACTTACATATCGGCCATTGTGAATTTCATACACAGGTATATGATAAACTGCTATACTGTGATATAGGACTATTGAGTTACTTGCGCAGCAAATTTTATTGTGATTATCGTGCAAAGTAGTTACGCAATTTTTACGGGCTTCGTATTTGATTCATTTTTAATAATGATCAAATGTATGTCTAGATTTTTAAGATGGAAAACTGAACTGATCTGCGTTAAATCTTCCACAAATCCTATATTTAGATACAATTACACTAATGTTTATCACTTTATATCTGTAATTTCTTAGTGGAACATAATTATTTAATATTAAATAGAGGAATAAATGTTTGCCCAATATGGCGGGTGGTTGTGTATAGTCAACGCCAAACAAAGTGGCGTGCACGTCATCAAGGTGGGTGTGTTGAAAAATTTACATTGTTGCCAAACTTTTTGTAAAATAATAAAATTTATTATTTACATATCTAGGTTTATAAGCAATATTAACCTCAAATGAGAACAAAAATAATAGTATAATAAAATTATAGATCTGTACTTGCATAATCATTAAGTATGACAATTAGTGATCAGATGACACTATGAAACTACCATATTTAATTGATAGCTTAAAGGTACTGAATAAAAATCCAAATGGGGTCCTCCAAATTTTATGCATGGTATTTATTTTACAGAATTCATACAGAAAAATGCATTCTAAAGTTAGGTAAGCTACTGGTGTAAGCTTTTTCTGTACAATAAAGTTAGTCGGAGTTTCTTTCTTCAGCGCTGTCTGAATCTGAATCTTCATCACTCTCAAAGTTGATTATTAAAGGTTCGATGTCTGGTCGATCAAAAATTCGTTCTCTTTCATACCATTTAAAAATTTCTTGCTCAGTATGTCGAACACTATTTTTCCACATGTCTGGGGTAACCGTTTGTAGAGCCTCGTTCCACATATCCAAACAGTCTTTTTCACTGTTACCATCTCTACCAATATGTCTGTTATAGTAACCTTTTGCTATGCCCCAAATTAACTCAATAGGGTTAAATATACAATGGTAAGGAGGCAGACGAAGAACTTTGTGCCCATGTTGTTCCGCCAATTCATCAATCACGTATATTTTAGGAGGTTTGTTTCTAAAAAAGCAGTTATTTTAAGAATAGGAATAAACAAAAGAAATATAAACTGTCGACCAAAATATATATAATTAAGAAGCATTATGTACCGAGCAACAATACTCAATAGCTCTCTTTTAAACATTGTGTTTAAAAATGGTATGTTTTGATTTGTCAACCAGTCTTGGATATTTTTTTTTGTCCATGCATTGTTGGGCACTTTGTTCAATACCATGCTGTGATAAGGGGCGTTATCCAGTATAATCATAGATGGACTCTCCAATTTTTCTAATAACTGATGTTGAAACCATTTCAAAAAATTGTCCTGGTTCATCTCTCCATGGTAATCGCTCAATTTTGTTTTCGAAGAAAATATCGCTTCACTACCCTCAATAAACCCATTTTCATTTCCAGCATGTAATATAATGTATCTAAAATATATTAGTTTTTAATTTTATAATGCAAATTGTGTAAAAGTACATACCTTTTACCATCTGTTTTAATAGCTTTCACGCTTTTTTGGTTTCCATTTTGCCAAGAGCGACCTATGGTCCCATTTTGAAATATCCAAGTTTCATCGAGGAAGACAAACTGGTATAAGGCCTGAACCTTGGCTTGATTGTATTGCCTTAGAAATTCCACCCTTTTCAAAGCTATACTTGGTAGTTCCATGAGCCCTCGTCGCGGATTGTCCTTAAGCCACTTAAATCCAAGATCTCTAAGCAACCGCCTTAAAGACGTGGCACTACCATCAAATAATGCCCTATCTCTTAATCGAGACCATAAAGTTTGTATCGAAACTTGTTCTTCTGAAACCATGTGTAATATGACATTATAATTTAGTTAACAAATTAATGCAAATTTCTGATAAGTTATTATAATAAGATCTTACTTTTGTGATACATATAGATCACTTCTCGAATGGCACTTGTATCCAATGTCGCTGTGTTGGTTACACGTTTAATATAACTCCGCTTTTTCTTGGGCGATTCTAAATTTGCATCACTTTTCACACCCTCGGAAATACGACTAACTGTCCTTAAACTAATTTTTAAAGCAGCAGCAACACGCTACAAAAAATGAAATAAAATTTCACTATTATTAATATACATTACATATAATTATTAGTAACCTACCTCTTGAACAGCATTTAAAGGCAACAAAGGCCCGTTGTTGTCCCTTTCTTGCTCAAAGTAGTGCATTAACGAGGCCACGAGTTCCTTACACCGACTATTTAACTGTTTGGGCATCTTTATATACCAAAATTGCCTTTATCTACTCGTAAAATGAATAATTTTGTTTTGAAACAAACAGTTGTTGATTTACAGTATGCGGGGCCAAAGGATTTATAAAGATTTGAAATGCCACAAATTGATTCAGTGTCAAAATTAATACAAATGTCAGTTCCCAGTTTAAATAAGTTTCAAGGTGACAATGTGTCAACGCTGCGAAATCGGTTTAGTGCGTATACATGTCGATAAGTGGTTGGAGCGTTTGCAAAACATTTTATTTCGCATAATGCGTCTAAATTTATCAGAAAGCAACTTATGTGATATTTTAATAACAATGTTTATATGACTATTAACCATAATAAGAGAGTAATGACCATTTTACAATTTATATATCACATTAATATGAAACTGCAATAGAGCAATTGTTTGTGATAGAAACCTAGGCATTAGGTCGGGGAATTTTTATCGTGATGACGTGCACGCCACTTTGTTTGGCGTTGACTATATAATCATGGCATCGTTCATGTTGTCTTTAGTTTATTAGAATATTTTGGTGTTGCCTGCAGGTGTTATACAACAATTTGACAAATGTCTGAAATGAAATACCGAATGATTTACCCAGAATTTGTACCAGATCTATATCTTCTGTTTGAACAGTTGATAAAACCTTTTGAACCAAAAAGCATGCGTTGTTTGTCTTAAAACATTGGTTATGGCATTTTAACAAAAATATGTCAGCAGAAAGTTGCATGTACAGCAAAACAACAAGGCTCGGGTTGGTTTTATAAACGTTACCATGGATGCCACAACACAACCATTTTGACTAACGTGCAAATATGCCGTATAAAATAGTTGTATAAACGTTTATGCAACAGTCAAAAATTTGCCCTATAAGGTGTTGCATAACTATGCTATAAGAATATTTTAAACATCTCATTTTAGAGCAAATATGCTGCAGAAAGCAAATTTGCATTCCACACAACATTGAGCCAGCATTTTGGTGTTCAGGCAACAACAATAGACAGTTTTTATGGCTGAACGGTTCTTATACCACAACTTTGCTAGTTGGGATGTACCTTGTACCAAAACTTTCAGGACGCGTGATTGATGACACCCCTTAATATTGTCTAATATCTTTCCGCCTCCGGACTTTTGGATCACCCTGCGATTTGTTTATCCAACATTTCTCCTTAATTTCAGGAGCGCACTTTGCGGCTGCAGGATCGGTAACGTGCTGGGGCGACGGTCGCAACAGCGGCGGCGGGCCTCTGGCCGGCCATGATCGACGCGCGTCGTTGCCCTTTTGCGCCCGCGCCGCAGGTGCAGCCGTGCCGCCGGTCGCCGCCTCCGCCGCCCATTTCAAGGTCACCGTTACCGCCCTCGGTCACGCCCACACGCCCAACGGTGCCACGCCCCAACTCATGGAAGGAGGCACCGCGCAGCTCAAACGCGTGCACTTTTACGTGGGGCCGCAACTCGAGACAGCCCTTTACGCCAAGGACACGCCGCAAGAACAGGTCAAAGGTGAGGAATATTTACAATTTTATATGATATAGCAAGGGTGGATTTCACCAGGATTACATCTATAATATACCATTATTCGTAAGGCAACCGTTTTTTTTTAACGACCTTATTCAACATTTCAATAGGAATCGCTGATATTCAGAGAGTTTTGACAGGTTCCGTCAATCAGGGTCTTTTCCTATTAGTCCAACTGACTGTCAAGTAGTAATGTTGGTGAAAGTGACATAGAAATGCAACACCGACTAGGAGTGCCGTAATTTTGAGCATACTTGTACAAGGTTTTGGTCTACTGATAAATAGAAAGTGATTAAAATTTTAACTCGAAATTTCGAATAAAAAAGTTGCTTGTTCCTGAAGGAAATGTGGGAACGTTATTTTTCAGACAGTTCTCATAGTAACAAAATAGGAACAGTGTGGTCACATAACCATATCAAAGGGACAAGCAAAGAAACAAAGCATACCGGTTAAGGCAAAAAAGTACTGAATAATAAAACGATTTCAGCTTAAATAGTGAAAGTTTTTGTGAGTTGTATCAGTAACGATTACTAACCACAAAGGTGGACGTCTTACGTATCGTTTGGGAACTTCTTTAGTAGTACACGGATGACCTTTCCAAATCCGATTTCTTCCTGACAAAGCCTTTGTGAAAATTCAGGTAATGATGAAAAGGACGGGAATTAAATAGCGCTTACGAATTTACCCGGCCCTTTTTGGCGGTAAGGAGGGATCAAAAGGTCGACGTATCGTGCGGAAAACGCCTCATACAAAACTTCGGAAGCTTCCTGCCCAACGAGGTGCTCTCGCCACATTTAGGCTCTAGCAGACTGATGTCAAAAAGTAAATATACAGGGTGTTTCAGTTTATTGTTGCATAACTTTAAGATGCGATAGAACTTTTAAAACTAATGAATAAAGTCTATATAAGCATAGGTCGAAAAATGCGTGGCTTCCCAAATACAGGGTGTTTAAATTTACTTTCTAAAATAGTTTTTTTAAATATTTCGAACAATATTTGATGTATAACAGTGAAAATTGTTATACGAGGGTTTTTTGGTACGACAAAACGAACCATGGGCATAGTTTTACTGTAGCCGCTAGATGGCGCTCTCTACTGTATCTGTAGTGGATTAGAATGAGCGAAAAATTTTTCTTAGTGCAATTTTTTGCATTTTGAATAAAAAAACTGATTATTCGCACTTTTCAACATAAAAAAGCTCTCCTGTGAGTTTTCGTTATAGTTAGCCGTTTTTGAGATATTTCGATTTTTAAGGTTCGATGCATTTTAATTATTTGTGGGAAAATAATATTTTTTTTTACATTTTCGATTTGGGCATTACAAGTAATTAAGATGATCGTTTAGATTGTGTTTTTAAACACAGCAATAATTCCTAACTCTAAATAAACACAAAAAAACAGAATATTAATTTGTTTAATTTTCCTATATTATTTTAACAAATTAAATTAATTATTTACAACTAAAATGCTATTGGATAGTTAGGACAAACATACAAAATCTAAAGTAGTTGCTCGAAATGTAAACCCAATTGTTCAATACACAATTCACATCTACGAATGATCGAACGTGGTATAGCATTATTCAAATAAGGCCTTATTTCATCACATGCATTCCTGATTCTGTCTATTAGCATATCTCTTGTGGTTACGGGAGTCTGGTACACTTTTTCTTTTAGAAATCCCCACACAAAGAAATCTAATGGATTTAAGTCAGGGGATCGTGGAGGCCAGGCGACTGGTCCTCCACGGCCGATCCATCTTTCTGGATAATTTTCGTCTAGCCAGTTTCTAACTATTCTCGAATAATGAGCTGGACAACCATCAAGCTGGCACCAGGCCAATCTTCTTAAATCTAACATAACATCATCCCACATATTTACATGTTCAGCCTTTAAAAATTCCAAGAAGGTCGCAGCATTTAACCTTGCAGGCAAAAGGTAGGGTCCAAATAGTCGATTACGGTAGATACCAATCCACACGTTCACACTAAATGCATGCTGAAAATTTTTTTCCCGAACTGCATGCGGATTTTCATGCGACCAAATACATATGTTGATTATGAAAATTTACGACTCCACGTCTAGTGAAGCATGACTCATCGCTCCATAAAACGTTACTTAAAAATTCCCTATTATTATCAGTTCTATCAAGAATCCACTGACAAAATGTGATTCTTCGTTCTCCGTCCCCTGGTTGTAGTCCTTGCACAGGTTGCAAATGGTAAGGACGTTTATGATCATTTTTAAGAACACGGTGAACATGGCTTGCTGAAATTCCTAAGGCACCAGAAACTCTCCTAACACTTGTGGTCGGATCACTATCAAACTCACGCAGAATCATACGGGTAAATCTGCGCTGACGAACATTTATGTTTTGATCCCTTTGGAGATTTCCAAAACCATTTTCAATTATTTGGCGATGCACTCTTACAAATACTGAGCGAGTTATGTCGTCTGTTTGGAAATCTTCGTGCGTATTCTCTGGCTGCTTCTGCTGCGTTTTCATTTACAAGGCATACACAAAATGAATATCCGCTAACTCTTGATTGGAGAATAAAAATGGCATTTTTATAAAACTTACAAAAAAAAACAGGTAAAAGAAACTAAATTTAGTGCATTCACAATTGCATCGAACCTTAAAAATCGAAATATCTCAAAAACGGCTAACTATAACGAAACTCACAGGAGAGCTTTTTTATGTTGAAAAGTGCAAAGAATCAGTTTTTTAATTCAAAAGCAAAAAATTGCACTAAGAAAAAATTTTCGGTCATTCTAATACACTACAAGTACAGTAGAGAGCGCCCTCTAGCGGCTACAGTAAAACTATGCCCATGGTTCGTTTTTTCGTATCAAAAAACTCTTGTATACCAATTTTCACTGTTATACATCAAATATTGTTCGAAATATTTAAAAGAAACTTTTTGGAAAGTAAATTTAAACACCCTCTATTTCGGAAGCCACGCATTTTTCGACCCATGTTTATATAGACTTTATGCATTAATTTAAAAGTTCTATCGAATCTTAAAGTTAAGCAACAATAAACTGAAACACCCTGTATATAAATTTATATTTATTGTCTATCATGATTAAGGGAGGTAGAGCGTGTTGTCGATTCATGTACACAGCTAATAGGTATACTTCATAGGCAGCATATTCAGTAATGATTTTCTAATGAAGCAAATATCACTGATTTTATACACATGCAGACTATTCGGCTTCACAAAACATATGCAACCAACAATGCATGTAGTTGAGTCATTCCTCCATAGATGGACGCTCACAACGATCCTACTGAGCAAACGTGGAATGACTGTTTGCACTCTAAAAACTACCTAGTCTGCAAGATGACATTCTATACACTTTTTTGACGTTTTACAGGTTTTTTACATAATAAACGTGCGATTGCACGTTTCTCCTCCATAGACAAATATTTTCAGGAATACTTATACATTTTCTGAAAGAGAAAACTTCCCTTAACTACCTAAACATTTAATTACTTTAAAGGAATAACTGCTAACCCCAAATTGATCTGTTAATAAATGATGCCCTTTCATCAACCCCTTCCGTTCTAAATTCAATCTTGTTTGCTACCGTTTCACGTTCATGCCAAGATAACAATTTTCAAGTTTTCAGTAAAGTTTCATCACTTAATAGGAAATTGAATATAGGACAGTATATATAAGGCTCTTAGAGATTCATTGTTTTATAGCATTTACGACTAATTATTTTCGTGTGATGGCTTAAGGATATAATTACGTTAAAATTTGGTGACTCAGGAAAACGAGGAAGCACTGCTTATTAAACGAGTTAAAGGAAACTGCATTTTATAAATAAAGCAGGTTTTTTTACGTTAACTTAGCACTAGATGATGGACACTTGTTGTGAACTCGTTTTGTAGCTGTACGTGTTGCCTACAGGTCATGTTGCTCCAGTTATCAATGTTGATGTAAAATCTGCTTCAGAGATGGCATTACTGATAGTAACGGCAATGCATAGGTGCATAGTGAGAATGTGTGTGCTAATATGTTTTGATAATAATTCCAGTGGTTTCTTGTCTCAAATACGCATACTTAAGATTCAAAGCTAGAAATTAGTTTACTTATTAATTCTGGTAATTACATAATTAGGCAAATTTGCTGAATTTCAAAAATTAGAGAGATGAGTAAAAGACAATTCCTGGTTGGTGAAGAAACAGGTGGGAAAGTAGGCTACAGACAGGAATATTTATGAAAGTGAAAAGGTTGTTACATTATTTTTCATTTCCGGACATTTGAATTTCATAGAAATTTATTTTGCGATGTCAATAGAAAATACGTCATTACTAATTTTTCTGTAATGTGGCTTAAGGCGGCTGCGACGCAGTGAGTTCTAGCCATTTACAACGGTTCAGCTGCTTCGAAACTGACACTACATTTTTCAATATTTTCGAATGAAATTCATACAGTATGTTCAGAAGATAAATGCCCAGGGTGCTATAGGAGCACTTTTTGAAATTTTGTTTTTGCACAAGTTTTATGATGGGCTGAAGTGCGCACTTTTTCTGTTCAACTTCGCGATTTTTTTTAAAAGTATCTAGTGAAAAAAATGAAAAAGTGGCTCTATAGCACCTTGTGGGGTTTTGTTTTCAGCATACTATAAAAATTTCATTCAAGAATATCAAAAAATAAAGCGTCAATTTCGAAGCGCGCAAACCTCTACAAATCGTATTTTGGACGAATTTTGTCTACTGTTTCGTGCTGCCAGTCCAAGCGACGCGACGGTGCGTTCCGACTAAGAAAAAATGTATTCAAATAATTTGATATCTTTAGTAAAAGAAATTCAAGAACTCAAATTCGAATTCGTTTATTCATGTCAATAAACACAACTATGTTTACAGGGGTCATGTGGCACATGGTAACAATTGCACGAGGGTTATAAAATCATCTTATGCGGTCAAAATAAGAGGAAACAGTTAGGTAGTTTTTGCAATGCAATAAATAGGTAGGCTTATACCTGGATTAAGTACATTTCTTGTCTACTGTAATAGG